TAAGCTAGGGGCAGCACGGTGGCGCAACAGGTAGAGCTGCTGTCTCTCAGCGAGCAGGTTCCTGGTTCAAACCCCGGTCCAGGGGCCTTTCTGGGTGGAGTTTGCATGTTCTCTCCGTGCATGCATGGGTTTTCTCCGGGTACTCCGGTTTCCTCCCACAGACCAAAAACATGCATGTTAGTCTGATTGGTAACTCTAAATTGTCCCTAGGTGTGAGTGAGAAAGTGAATGGTTGTTTGTCTCGTTTGTCTCTATGTGGCCCTGTGATGGACTTGCGACCCGTCCAGGGTGTACCCCGCCCCTCGCACAGTGATTGCTGGACATGGGCACCAGCGACCCCCGTGACCCAAAATGGAATAAGCGGGTAAAGATAATGGATGGATGGATGGATGGAGATTAAGCTAGGTTGTTGAGAGCTTTGTAGGTTAAAAGTAAGATTTTTAATTCAATTCTGGACTTGACAGGGAGCCAATGGAGAGAAGATAAAACTGAAGAGATATGATCTCCAGAAAGTTTGAAAATCAAATGTTGTCTGTACCTAAAGTCCACACAGAGTTTTGGGAGTTTTGGTGATTTAAGTAAAAATGTTTCTTTCTAACATCCTGATGCATGCTCAATAATCCAGGTAGAAAAATCGTAGAAGAATCTAAAAAAGTTAAATCAGGTCCTCTGGACGGATTCAAAGAAAAAAGCAACAAAAAAAAAAACTATAACATTAGTTAGTTAGTTAGTTAGTTAGTTAGTTAGTTAGTTAGTTAGTTAGTTAGTTAGTTAGTTAGTTAGTTAGTTAGTTAGTTAGTTAGTTAGTTAGTTAGTTAGTTAGTTAGTTTATTTTATCCATCCAGAAGACCTGACAACTTTTTTAGATGTTTCTAAGAAGCCAGTTTTAAGGTTGTTGTTGTTTTTTTTGTTTTTTTGTCAAGACTAGGCCATTGTCTGCTTTTTTTCTGCATTCACTTGGACTTCACAAAAACTCTTGTTTGGACTTGTCTGTCTGATAGTCTGTTTGGACATTAAAGTTGAAAATTCATCCGTGACCTCCAACTCCTTTTTTTTCTTTGTAAAATTAGTTTTCCTTCTTGATCTTTGTCCACCAAACACCACAAACTGGTTCATCCACTATGAGAAGGTGCTATGTATTAGACTGATCGGTAACACTTTACAATAAGGTACACAACATTTTCTTAACTACTGGGGAAGGCCTCAGTAACGAATCAGGGGCTAATGGGTAGTTAACAAGTACATACTGGGGAACACACAGCCAAGCCTTATTAGGGGACTACTGGTTAGTTACCTTGTAAATGAAGAGGAACTAATCAATAACTAATGGGTAGTTAAGGAAACCAAAAAGGAACAAATCAAGAGCTAATGGGTAGTTACCCAGTACTTAATGGGGAACACACAGCCAAGATTTATTAAAGGACTACTGGTTAGTTACCAGAGAAACAGATGAGAAATTCTCCATGTGGGTTCTGAATAAACCCTGCACCAGTGAGGTCACAGCTCGTTTTGTCAAAAACCTGTTTCCTAGTGATTACTGATTTTATTGGATTTTCTATTTTGTAAACCTATTGGTTAACTACCCATTAGCTCCTGATTTGTTCCACGTTGGTTTCGTTGGTAACTACCCATTAGTTATTGATTAGTTCCTCTTCATTTACAAGGTAACTAATCAGTAGTTCCCTAATAAGGCTTGGCTGTGTGTTCCCCAGTAAGTACTGGTTAAGATCCTGATTCGTTCCTGAGGTGTTCCCTAGTAGTTAATCAAATATTGTGCATGTTATTGTAAAGTGTTACCGACTGATCTTATTATAGCTCCTCATTATAGACAAAACGTTTCAACATTTTTTTAATTTTAATTTTAATTTTTGACTTTTTCCATCCATCCAAAGGACCTGACTTAACTTTGTTAGACTTTACTGTACCGGTATTTGTCCCCCAGTAGTGAAACTCATACTGTGGTAACAGCTAAAGCATCCAAGCAAATAAAAGAAAATAAAAATAAATCGGAATTCTCAAATAAATACAAAAAGTAACAAAGTATTAATTACAAAATAAAATAAAATAAAAACATTCAAATGAATAAATATAATAGAGATAATAAAGTATAATATTTAAAGACTGCAAACCTTAGATTTATTTTTTTTTTCAAAATCTGCTCTCTACATCCTGATCTTGTCATCTATACACTTTGTTTGGGTGTCATATGATTAAATTTAATAAGGAATAATAACTGAAGAAACTAAAAAGCATTTTTAATAGAAAGAATCTTTGACAAGCTATGAATGTTTTTCCTCTGAATGTAGTTTATGCGGAAGTACTCGCCACCTAGTGGCACGTCGTGGTTATTTCAACATTTTTGTGACGTGAACAGATGTTTTTCAATAGTGAAAAACCACCTGTTTTCAAATAATATCCAGAGTATCGTACTTCAGCTGTAGCCCTAAGCTTAACGTTAACATTGTAGTGTTGTAAAAGGCTCGATTAGCTTCAGAGCTCCACTACAGTCATATTTTAAATTAACGGGTTCTCTCTTTTTCGAGCTACTTGCAGATATGTGACAGAGGTACTGTGCGTAGATGGTTTAATCAGTGACATGAGACGTTTAATTTTCTTTGACCCATCAAAATAAATGTGGTAATTTATTAACAGAATCAAAATTTAACATCAAAACATTGTACACTTGATTAGACTGGTCTGGTTCTGATTAATAGAACTTGGCACGTTTTACTTAATAAAAACAACAGACATTTCTGAAGGCATCTGGATTAATTACTGGCAAGATAGAAGTTTAAAGATGGGAAATTATGGAGGAGTTTAAAGGAAATATATGGAGGAAGTTTTATGTCTGTAGACCAGAACAACACGCTCCTTTCAAGCAAAGTTCGCCCCCGGTACACTTGTAGTGAAGCTCGTGACGACTCTTTACCTTGGCAGAGGATGGGTCCGCTGTGGTCAAGAGGTCCCTGGCACGCTACCTATCAGCGTCTCCTCAGGGCGGCTGCGACTCGGCAGAAGTCGTGAGATACTCCGTTCTACAGAACAACTTCCTCAGAAGTTGTAGGGCATTCGCCGGGTGGAGCCACAGCGAGGCACCGTGACCACAGCAGAGATGGATGACTCCATCAGCCTGGAAAACTGAGTCCGAAGTTCCACTCAGCAGTGGAAAAACTCAAGAACTACTCCGTAGAACCCCAGAAGACTCCAGAAGAACTCAGAACACTCAGAAGACTGAGCAGACATTACTCCACAGACTCAGAAAAGACTGAGAAGAAGTCAGAAGAGACTGACAGTTCCAGGAAGTGTCGACTTTTAAAGATTTCTGCTTCTGGTCACTTTTAGTAAGTCCTGATTGGTTGAAGCAACCAACAAGGGTGTGGTTCTAGTGACGTCAAAGGGTTTTTACAAGTCAAGAAAACAGCAGAAATGTTTAGGAACAGACAGAGAAATGTTTTGGCGAAGTGAGAAACACTGCCAGTGCCAGTTCACTTATTTACTGTCTGAGAGTTTAAAAACACGACAGCCCGTTCTAACAACTTGTTTTTGACTGTCTCCGACTTTTGACCGACATCACTCCTTCTCATTTCAGACAGAAGATCAAAAAATGCATAATTACTTTGTAGAATAGTCATTTAACTTGATTTCTAATTTAAATGAGGATTAAAAAATCATCAATACTGTTTCACAGTTGATTTAAAATGAGTGGTTCACTGCAAAATTTAAAAATGGTATGAACTAAACACACTTTTGATTATCAAGATATTGTAAAATAGAAATGATAATATAAAAAAGAGAGTGTTCTTTCAATTGATTAGTTCAGGATACAATTAGAAAGTCTCTGGATGAGCTAATTTGTATTTCTGGATTCAAATAAATGAAATAACAGTTCCTGTCCCATGAAGGTCTTCAGAGGCAGGTTTTGGTCGGAGGCCTAGTCCACTACAACATGCTAATAATATGTTAATAATCTATTTGTGTAAATCTGAAAATGTTTATGTCTCAGTTTATTTTAAAACGGATCCCACAATGTGCCTTCTTTTGTTAACTGTGTAATGCATTTAAATTAGTTAGAAATATTGTGGTAATCTCCTAGATAGGATATATTTGAGGATTCTAAAATACTGCTGACATTTTGCCTGCAAATACAACAGAGAGCTAACAGTGTGTCAGCCAGAGACTGGTAGACAGACGTTCCATGTCCTGATTTGAGGTTAATGTTTTATTCACTGTCTGTACAGCTGGACAACGTTGGTCTTTAGGGATGAGAGTGTTTGCCTTGCTCAAGGAGCCATGCTGCATCCATATGGCAGTAATAACTACTGTCCCAGCTCATGCATGCTCATAAATGCAGTCGGAAACTTATACACATAGTTGTTTGCACACACATTAAGGCCAGCCTGTTCTGCAGCCATACTCTGGACAAACACATACACACACATCACTTTTAGCAACGCTGTAATTAGGCTGCTCTCGGTTTCTGAGACGGACTGAGAGGCGAGAGAAAGCAGCAGGCAGGAAGAGACGTGGAGAGGGAGAATTATGGTGAAAGAGAATGATAAATGATGGACTACAAGCGTTCTCACTAGACCCTCAGGTTAGCAGTGTGAGGGAGTTACAGCTGGCTAGCCCATTCCGTCGAGATCTCATAATAAACATCACATGGGTAGTTTGGGCTGGCGGGTGCAGATTAAGCCAGAGCTGTTAGCTCTTTAAAGGCTTCTCGATGTTGCAGCGAGCCAAGAGTCTATTTATAGGGTGGCTGGAAGTGTATCAAAGCAGGTAGGCAGGGGAAAGCACCGGACAGGGACAGTTTCAAGCTGATTTATGTGCTTCAATCAGTGGTATAATAATAAACTGTCAACTAACATTCTGCTTTTATTTGTAATTTATGATATAGTGCTCCTAATAAAACTGTTTATTTCTCCCCTGTCCTTCCCTCCACCTCCCTTGTTTGTTTGTTTTGTTTGTTTGTTTGTTTGTTTGTTTTTTCCTCTGTGCAGAGCTGCCCAGCAGTCCAGGTGGTCAGTTCACGTTTCGTCCGCTACCCCCACCTCCTCCTCCGCCCCACGCCTGCACCTGCGCCCGCCCGGCACCATACGCTCAGGTCAGCCTGCAGAGGAAGACCATGCCAACACGGTGCCAAACCAGCCAGGGGGGGCAGGGGGCAGACAACAGCTCGAGCACAGATCAGGGCCAGCTTCACAACAGCTGGGTGCTCAACAGCAACATCCCCCTAGAGACCAGGTAACAGAATGCAGCAGATTACATGCAGATGATGGTTGTTTTAGATCTGGAAGGCAAAGAAAAGGAGGCCAGCCTGAGTTTAAAAAGTTCTAAACATAAAAACTTTATTTTTAAATGGATGGATGTCCTCTTTAAACCCACAGTGGGTTCAGAAACCACTCAGACTGTCTTTACTTTTTGCAATTTTCTTATGGCTTCTTAAATTATTATTGTTTGTTCCAGTATTCAACCCTCTGCACCCCAAAATGACAACGTGAAAAAAACAAATGTTTCAGTTTTGCAAATGTATTCAGAAGAACAATGGAATGATCACAATTAAATAAGTATTCAAATCCTTTACTTAGCAATTCATTCAACATCTTGGTTACAGCCTGTTGGGGTTTGATGCAACACGCTTTGCACACCAGGATTAGTGTTGGGAATATTTAAAGGCCTCAAAATATGATATGATTATAATTCAGAGCTGAAAGGTAATTATTAAAATGATTCCTGATACATTTTCATTACCTTTTGACTTAAATATTATGACATATTTTACAAAAATGGACACATATTTCCATGCATAATATTGCAAGCACCATAGCATGTCAAAAAGAAACAAAACCAGAGGCTACTGTCTAACATTTAGCATTAAAACAGAGTTCCAACTGACAACTTTTAGAGATAATGCATTTTTTACATCTTTAGTTAAACGCCTTTAGAAAAGCTAACAAATGTGTATATATTACTGGGATTTATGCGCAAATCCAATGTTTCAAAGTCACAAACACATTGTAATATTGTTAACTATCATTTAACAAACATACAGTAGTCCCCTCGCTACTTCGCGGTTCATTTTTCGCGGACTCCCTCTATTGCGGTTTTTCAAAGAAAGATTGACCATGGCACACAATTGGCTGATTGATGGATGAGTTGCACAATCGGCATATCATTTTTATTTAAAATAAATTATTTTAAATTATTTAGCACCTGTGTGCAGCCCACAGCTGCAGGAGAAGCTTCCTCCTGCAACACGTCATATCTCTGCTCTGCAGCGAAGTGGGCGTGGCCAAGTGCGCTGGCATAGAGCAGCCAGAGGCAGAGAGAGGGAAATCTTGACATGCGTCAGGGCACGGATCCCCTAGGGTAAACAAGGGACTACTGCACGTTCTTCAGGGTTCAGGGAAGAAAAGATCATGAAGATTTGAAAACACAGCTTTACTGGAACGTTTCTACCTAAGCAAGCTACAGAAACTCTACAAGGACAAACAGCACTATGCAGCAACTACTCTGCTGATTCTTTGCTGATCATAGTTTAACATAATAAAACAACAACAAAGTCCATGCTCAATAATCCAGGTAAACAATCAAACATTTTTCAAGCTCGCCGGTTCATCTCCGGGTACTGCCAACACCAAAATGTGGGCGGGGTAGGTGAAGCACCCACAGCTGCCCCCACCCTCATTCACCCCACTCTGGGCCCATGAGCAAGGCCCTTAACCCCCATATTCTCCCTAAACAGGTCTCTCTTGAAAATGAGTTCTCATATCTGTATAAATAAAGTGTAAATAAAAAAAATAAAAAAATGAAAATCAATTCACAACTATCCATGTTCGCAACACAGTGCATCTAAAAAGAGTTTACTTCCCATCCCTAATCTGGATTTGCTGACTTGTTGCTGTTTTTGTAAATCCTCTAAAGCTCAGTCTGGTTGGATCCACAGTGGACTGTTGTTTTCAGGTCGTGACTAAAAGAGTTCAAGTCAGGCCTCTGGCTGGTCCATTTAGCACATTCCAATTTGTCTCTGAGCCAGTCCTGCGTTGTCTTCTCTGTGTGTTTTGGTCATTGATTTGTTAGAAAACAAAGTCTGTGGTCCAGAGCTATGGAAGAGTTTTACCACTGTGAATTGTCCCATTTAGCTTTCCCTTAACTCTGACCATTCTCCCAGTCACTGATGTTGAAAACACACCTCCAACATGATGCTTCTATCACCATCCTTCACTGTTGGGTTGTGTTAGGCAGATTACTGGTGTTTGCCACTGTCTCAACTCTCATCAGTTCCACACTACACCGCACCAGTAAAGGGCCTGCTCACTGTCAGTACCCACCCCCACTCAGCCCAGTTTACAGAACCATCTTGATTGACGTTCCATGCAAACTGCTTGGGAAAAAAAATGCTGATGATAAGATGGTTTCTGGGGCCTGCCCTGTCCCTCGTCGACTCCTTTGAGGTGGACGAGTTCCTTCCAAAATGGTTAAAAACAGCAAAGTTCATGTTCAATAATCCAGCAAATTGTTGTTTTTTTTCCACTATGGGAGTGTGGTACTTGTGGGATTTCAGTTTGTTTGTGGCTCCTCGGACTGAAGAAGTCCTTTGGATGAAGAACAAAACATCTCAGCAAATAAAAAAGAAACCATCCAGATGACTGACTGAACATTGCTGGGTCTATACCTGGATTATTGAGCATAAACTTTGGTGTTTTGAACCATTTTGGCATGGCTGCCTTAGAGGAATTGAAGGACCCTAGAAATCATCTTATCACCAGCAAACCATTTTTTTTTTTTTTTTTTTCCTTGGGAGTGTGGTGCTTGTAGGACTTCAGTTTGTTTGTGGCTCCTCGGACTGAAGAAGTCCTTTGGATGAAGGACGACACGTCTCAGCAGAAACAAAGAAACCATCCAGATGACCTGACTGAACATTGTTGGATTTGTACCAGGGTTATTGAGCATGGACATTAGTACATCTGAGCCTCCACTTCCTCTCTGATCATACCGAGTGTGTTATTTTTGCTAGTTTCTAGAATGGAAGCTCCAAAAATAGAGCTGTGGACTATTGATGAGGCACCGACCCTCCTGACTTTATTGGTCGATGTTGGGATTCAGCGTGAGCTGGATGACACCACAAGAAATGAGCACATTTACAGAGAAATATTGGTGATGATAGCGTAGTATGTCTACACCCGGACTTATAAACAGTGCCTGGATAAGCTAAAGACACTGGAGTCTGATTATTGAACGATTAAGGACCACAGTGGGCGGAGTGGCTCGAACACAGTGACCTGTTATGACACAGCCCACTTTGCATTGACAATCCCACCCACAGAGCGGGGGAAACAAGTCACGGTGGCAAATCACCTAGATCTCAGAATAACTGATAAAACGAGAGCTGAGTGGAGTCGCACTTATCAATGGCAAAGCAGCATATGTGTTGCCTCCAGAATATTTAGAACTGAAATCAAACAGTACAAGCTGAGTTTCCATCAGACCAGAGAATCTTGCTGTGGGATAGATAATTGAAGTTGAATTTTGCAAAAATGTGGATTTTCTGCTTTCAGTGTGTGAGTGAAGATTAATTTTTTTTTAAAAGAAAGAAAGAAAACACCCAAAAGCTACAGCATAGCACATTTCTAAGCATGTATGGGGTTTGAATACTTTCTGAAGCCAACTTCATCTTCCCAAACCGTTTCTTTAGAATAGAAAAGTATCACTGAATTGTTGAAATCTTATTAATAGTCCACCTCCTGGTTCCAAAAAAATAATAATCAGAACATGTGCATTTAATTTTAAACTATTCAAAAATTGGGATTCCACATGATTTTTTTTTTTTTTGCATCCATGAAAATTATTTTCCAAACGCTCCGAGATGTGCTTCAGGAAATTTCATCCCATCAAAGAGAATTAAGCATCTGCTCGCTGCATAAGTAATAATTGATCCGGGATTTTATTTTATTTTTTATTTTTGAAGATCCTCATTTATGCGTGCTGCTTTTGAGGAGAAGCAGCAAGGTGCAGAAGAATATGTTTGCATGTTTAATGAAGAGCTTGGTGGATTCCGGTTTTATAAGGAGGGTTGAGATTGGCAGGCTGCCACCACACGAGACAAAGTTTTAATAAGTTATGCATTAGGCCATAATTAGATCGCACCTCCAATGACGGCTCCTGAGCAAAAATATTCTTTGGGCGGACATTAATTTCCTGAATAACTAACCACACCAATTTTACAAATTGTGTTACGTTTTCTGTGATATAACAGAAAATTGTTGTTGTTTTTGTGCACAAACCTTTTGCCTTTTTTTTTTACAGCCACAGGTCATGGTTGTGTCTCATGATAAACAATCTTGTCCAATAAATTAAAGAAACGGACATCTCTCACGCCCACCAACGGGGATAATTTGACCGCTTCAATGTATGACTAAATTAATTAACGCAATGCACGACTGTCTGTCACGTGAGCGATAAAGTAAATTGTTGAACACTCGCAGTCAAAATTGTTTGGATCTGTAAACGTTTTCACTTTTATAAAAAAACAATATACGATTAAAGAAATTATGATTGAATGTATCAAGATAAGATAAGACAAGATAGAACTTTATTAATCCCACAGGAAATTGTTGTGCCAGAGTTTCAGTACAAAGCAACATAAACAAGGAATCTATATATATATATATATATATATATATATATAACAGAGAATATAATTCAGTCCATCACTGCGCCAGGTCCCCTGCACGAACCCTATCTCCCCACCCAGGCTTCCAGCTATGCCCACAGCCCACCAGGGGCTTCCATTCCAGTAGGGAGAGTATTATGTGGGCCCAGGATTCCCATCAGGGTCCGAGTTTGGGCTTGGCAGTTGGGGCTAAGTTCAGGGTCAAAGGGTGGGGTTATGGTCAGGGTTTGGTTTAAAGACATAGGTCAGGGGGTTAAGTTTAGAGAAAGGGGTCCCGAGTTAGGTTTAGGGTCAGGGCTCTGGGTTAATTGAGGAACTACTTTGTGGGGCGAATCAATTTTTTTAGGTGGAGCTGTGCCCCACCTGCCCCTGTAGACCAGCCACCACTGCACACCTCATTTTAAAGAAAGGGTGAATAAAATTATATATTCTGACAGTTTAAATTAATCATTGGCCAGACACAAGTATCTGTGAGGGAGACTTGTCAGGAAGTGTGTATTGTAATTACAGTAATTTTCCATGTCTGTGTCTGTAATTGCTTTAAATTAAAATCCACCTTAAACATTTTATT